ATAGATCAATAGAACAGAATAAAATATCCAGAAATGAACCCACAACTATATCACCAATTAATCTTCAACAAAGAAGGAAAGTATATCCAATGGGAAAAAGAATGTCTCTTCAACAAATGGTGTTGTGAATACTAGACTACCCACATGTGGAAGAATGAATTTGGACCACTTTCTTACAGGAAACAGAAAAATAAACTCAAAATGGATTAAAGACCTAAATGTGAGACAGGAAACCACTAACATCCCAGAGAAGAACACAGCCAGCAACCTCTGACATTGACCATAGCAACTTCTTTCTAGATATGTCTCCTGAAGCAAAGAAATCAAAAGCAAAAATAATCTATTGGGACTTCATTAAAATAAAATGCTTCTGCACAGTGAAAGAAACAACAAAACTAAAAGGCATCCTATGGAGTGGCAGAAGATATTTGCAAATGACATATCCAAAAAGGAGTTAGTATCCAAATTATATAAAGAGCTTATAAAACTCAATGCCCAAAAATGAATAATCCAATTAAAATATGGGTAGAAGACATGAATAGATATTTTTTCCAAAAGAAGATATCCAGATGGCCAACAGACACATGAAAAGATGCTCAACATTACTTATATCAGGGAAATACAAAACTACAATGAGATTTTTCTTCACACCTCTCAGAGTAGCTAAAATCAACAATACAAGAACCAATAGATGTTGGTGAGGATGTGGGGAAAGGGGAACCCTCTTGCACTATTGGTGGTAATGCAAACTGGTGCAGCCACTCTGGAAAACAGCATGGAGGGTTCCTCAAAAAGTTAAAAATAGAACCATCCTATGATCCAGAAATTGCACTACTAGGTATTTACCCAAAGAATACAAAAATAATGATTTAAAGGGATACATGCACCCCAACGTTCATAGACTTATCTACAAAAGGCAAATCTTGCAAATAGCCCAAGTGTCCATTGACTGACGAATGGATAAAGAAGATGTGGGTACATGTATACAATGGGATAACTCAGTCATAAAAAAATGAAATCTTGCCATTTGGAAGGACATGGATGGAGCTAGAGTATTATGCCCAGTGAAATAAGTCAGATTAAGACAAATACCATAGGATTTCACTCATATGTAGAATTTAAGAAACAAAACAAAGGAGCAATGGGGAAAATAAAGAGGCAAACCATGAAATAGTCTTAGCTATAGAGAACAAACCAACTCTCTTACCAAAATGGAGCTGGGTGGGGCGGAAGGGTGAAATAGGTGATGGGAATTAAGGAGTGCACTTGTGGGGATGAGCCCTGGGTGTTGTATGTAAGTGTTGAATCACTATGTTGTACATCTGAAACAATATTACACCGTATGTTAACTAACTGGAATTCAAATAAAAACTTAACAATAAACAAAATAGCTGCACCCTCAGCTAAGCAGAGACAGCATAAACAAAGTGATGATTTTCCCTTAATTGGAAATTTGCTGCTGATATTTGGAAAGAAACTTCAAATTCTTGGGTGTGCTCATTTCTGATCAGAGTAAAGTGTTGAGGTATTTTTTTTGTCTGCGTGTTAGGTATTTTCCAAACGTTTTACAATAAGCTTGTGTTCTGAAATAAAAATGCAGCAAATTTTATGAAAATATTAAGTTGTACTTACTGATTTATGCCCCCAAAGCACTTTAAGTTTTTATTTCAGAAAATAGCCCATATGTTAGCTCTGTTCTAATCTGGCTCCCTGCCTTAAGCTCCACCCCTCCCACTCTCCCCTAACCCCTAGTCCACTCAATCTTCTGCCTTTTTTCTTTCATCACTTTTTATTTTCATTTTACAGAAATAAAAACTAAAAGCCTATGAAATTAAAATGGATAGTAAAAATAATTGGCTCTGAGGTATATGGAGTTTCCAACAAATTTAAATTCTTTTTGCTATAGATTAAAACTATACAAATGCCTTTTTCAACTATGAATATTCATTTAGACAAAACCAGGTTGGAGCCAGAATTTACAATACAGGATTTTAATTAGCATCTTCAGAAAAGGGGATGTTATGAGTTGGAGTCATTTTAATGCATAAACATCCATATTTTTAGATGTATTGTTTATGGCTTTATACATTATATTAAATTTAAAACATTTTGGTAGAACAGACAATGTACGCAGTTCGAAATCATAGCATTTGGCAGGTCTTGGCATATACAATTCACTACCTAGACTATAATAAAATAGTAGGTTAAGACAACATTTAAAAATTTTTTCTGCTAATATCTGGAAATGACAAAAACCTCAAATTAATAATATGTTTACTTTTATTAAATATCATTCAGACTCTGGGTTCCCAAACTGGATAACACTGCCACCTTGTGGCAAACACTGATTATTGACGTTTTTGTTTAAATATTAAAAAAACAAACCTATTTTTCCCTGGTGGTATTACAGCTACCTTGTGAAGATATTTGTATGGCTGATGGAGGCAGTCTCATTCTGTATTCCTAAGATGGGACAACTTGTATTAATAAGTAACTGAGCAAGAATATGTATTCTTGGTGTGTTCTCTTAAAATAAAAATTGCATAATGTTCAAACCCAACATTGTTTCAAAAGAAAAAAAAACCTAAATGTCTTCCAAGTGATGCAAATGTTTGTGAGCCAAAATACCAAAGAAACTAGTTAACAAATCTAGGTCATTAAACTGTAATTTCTAATTTTACTTCTTTAAGGGATCAACTGGACATGTCTCCTCTAAAATAGCAAAAAAAAATGTCATCCATCTCCCATAATAAATTATACAAACGGTTTGATTTTGTAAAGCAAACAGTAAAATTCCTTCATTCATTTCATGGCATTTCAGAAAAACCAAATGGTAACTGGGTTTTCCTAATTTTGTCTTAACTTTTCTTTCTTTTTTTTCTAAAAGATTTATTTATTTATTCATGAGAGAGAGAGAGAGAGAGAGAGAGAGAGAGAGAGACAGAGAGAGAGAGAGAGAGGCAGAGACATAGGCAGAGGGAGAAGCAGGTTCCTTACAGGGAGCCCGATATGGGACTCGATTCCGGATCCTGGGATCACGACCTGGGCCCAAGGCAGGTGCCCAACTTCTGAGCCACCGAGGCATCCCATTGTCTTAACTTTTCATTATGTGACCTAAGTCAGGTTACCTAACCTCTTTGAATCTGTTTTTCTACCTCAAAAAAATGGTCATAATTATATCATCTATGTCACTGGATTGTGAAGATTAAATGAATTATCACAAGTAAATTGTTTCATAAAACTATGCCTGACATCATTCATAAATTTTAGCTCTTATTATTATTACAAATGGACTGAGATCAAATGTGCCTACATATAGTATGTTAGGTTTAGTATAATTCTGTTATGTGACTTGATTTGCCTGTCCTGATATGAAAATGGGCTCTCTAGTTTCCATTTATAGCCAGTATGGGCCAAATGGTAATTGTGCCCCCACAGTTCTATTTATTGTTCTGTCCATGGGATGGGCTTTGGACTCTGTCCCCATTCTGTATTAGATTTGGGAAAACTGGGATGCCTGGGTGGCTTAGTGGTTGAGTGTCTGCCTTTGGCTTAGGGTGTGATCCCGGGGTCCTGGGATCAAGTCCCACATTGGGATCCCTGCAGGGAGTCTGCTTCTCCCTCTGCCTGTGTCTCTACCTCTCTCTGTGTGACTCTCATGAATAAATAAAATCTTTAAAAGATAACAAGATTTGGGAAAACTAGTTAATTCAAATTCTACTTTTCTATTAATAAATTATAGAATAACAGTATATACCTCACAGAGTTGCTTTGATGATTAAATGAAGTAATGCATATATAAGGCCCTTAACACAATGCGAGACTTAAACAAGCCTCAACCAAGGATCTCCAGTATACTTAAAAAATAAGTCATTCCATCTGTAACAATTTTAGCACCAATTACATAATATACACTGTTGTGGAAATGAGCCAACAATTAAAATGATGAGAGAAGGGTTTCTGTGAAGGAGGAAGGGGTTAAAGGATAATATACTTAATTTCACAGATATGGGGGTGGAGAATAAGCATAGTGTATGTAAGAGATAGGATAGTGTAATGGTAAAATACCTGCAAATAAAGTTGGATAGACCTGGGCCTGAATTTAGGCTCTTCTCCAACTCTTGAGGCCTTAGTTAGTTTACCAAATCTTTGGAACTATTTTCCACAGAAGTGGGGATAATAGGATTGCTATGGGATTAAATGAGAACATATAATGTGTTTCCCACTGAACCTAGGTCATAAAGCATTTTCTGCTTTAGACACTTGAGCACCTCATTAGGACAACCTTCTTAAGTATTCTATTTTCTATGCCTACGGGAAAGAGGTAGTAAGTGGAAGTCAGGATAGCAATAGGAAGTGAATTATTTCAGGGCAGGGGCACAGGGAAAGCAGAATTAAGGCGACTATCTTTGAATTGAGAGGTTAAAATAGCAAGTACTTTTAGGGAGAGTGCCAAGCATAAACTCTAAGACTCCTTTCAACTTCTTGCTTCACCCTCTGAAACTCCTGAAAAAGAGGAAAAAGGTGGTCAAGTAGGCGCTGTCCCTCACCACATGAGGGAGCACTTAGACATGTAAATATGAACATTGTGACTTCATCATTATGACCCAGTGACTGTGCAAGGGGGTGAAGCAGTAATACTCCCCCAGGGCCATTTTCTTCTTCCCCTCACTTCCCGCCTGTTGGCAGAGAAAGGCCAGATGACAACCTGAAACCCAGCCAAGCCTACAGCTGTGATCGCTGGTGAGGTCAACTCCAGCAAATCGGAGGCATCAATAATCTCCTTTAGGTAGTCCTTTATTTTCCCCATTCTCATCTTGATAGAGGGGTCTCAAAGTACGAATCAAGTTGAGAAAAGACAGAAACATCCTAAAGCCTCCCACTACAGCGCTGTAGTTAAGGACTCCTGCTCCATCAAGACAGTCACTGGCCAACCAGTTATCTGCCAAACCATCATCTGCCAGCCAGTCCTCAGCCAACCAGTTCTAAGTCAACAAGTCCTTAGCCAACCAAGGATGAATCAACTGGGCATGAACCAATCAGGCATGAACCAATCAAGCTTACCAGACAGGAATCAACCAGGGATGAGCCAGCCAGGCATGAGCTTATTTGGTATGAACCAACTAAACATAAACCAACCAAATACAACCTTAACTGACATGAACCAACCAGGAATGAGCCGGCCAGGCGAGAGCCAAATAGGCAGGAGCCAACAAGGTACATGTCTATCTGACACAAACCAATCAGACACAAGGCAACTAGGTATGAGTCAACCAGCCATGTGGCAACCAGGCACGAGAAAACCACACTCGAGCTTATTCAGTACAAGTCAACTAAGCATGAGGCAATCAGGCCCAAGCCAGCCTTGCACAAGTCAACCAGGGCTGAGGCAACCAGGCCTGAGGCAACCAGGCCTGAGCCAATTCAGTATGGGTCAATCAGTCATAAGGCAACCAGGCTGGAGCCAATCAGGCACAAGTCAAGCAGGAACAAGCCAATCAGGGACAAGCCAAGCAGACAGAAACCAACCAAGTCCAAGCCAACCAGGCAGAAGCCAATCAGGCATGAGGCAGCCAAGCCTCATGAAATCTTTCCGAGTAAGACCTGCAGAGGCACATGACTGCCCAGAAATCCTGCGCCTAATTAAAGTAAGCATCTTTCTCCTTATTCTGTGGAGTTTCATAGCTTTAGTTTAGGGCCGAGAGTAAGGAAGGCATAGGTTGGGTTTGAATCCTAGCTTGGCTAATTATGACCCATGTACACAACATTTAACTTCTCTAGGCTTCAATTTTCACATATAAAATCATGATCATAGTACTATCTATATTGAAAGAATTATTGTAATGGCATAAAACAAATTTCTTGACTTAGAATAGTGAGCGCAGAAGTGGGAGAGATGGATTCATGGAAATTTCAGGGACCTAATGGTGTACCTCCTGGGGAAATTTTAACTTTATTTTTATTTATTTATTTTTGGAAATTTTAACTTTAAAAGAGGATCTTAGAGAAGAGGGATGCTTCACTAAAATGAATGACCTTTTAGTGATAGAATTTCAGGTATTTATGGATAAGATTTTAGGGTAGGGAGTGTTGTTGCTTTTAAGACCACACCTATTGGGGATCCCTGGGTGGCACAGCGGTTTAGCGCCTGCCTTTGGCCCAGGGCGCGATCCTGGAGACCCGGGATCGAGTCCCACGTCGGGCTCCCGGTGCATGGAGCCTGCTTCTCCCTCTGCCTGTGTCTCTGCCTCTCTCTCTGTGTGTGACTATCATGAATAAATAAATATTAAAAAAAAAAGACCACACCTATGTGTAGAAGCTAATGGTACAGAAAACAGCATTCATCCAGAACAAATCTTCCATACAATTTCAGAGAGTTCTTTGACTTCTGAGTCCCATACACAGCCTCCAGGAGTTCAAGTTGGGTTAAAAATACCTGATTTAAAAGTTCATTTTAGGGATCCCTGGGTGGCGCAGCGGTTTGGCGCCTGCCTTTGGCCCGGGGCGCGATCCTGGAGACCCGGGATCGAATCCCACATCAGGCTCCCGGTGCATGGAGCCTGCTTCTCCCTCTGCCTATGTCTCTGCATCTCTCTCTCTCTCTCTCTGTAACTATCATAAATCAAAAAAAAAAAAAATTAAAAGTTCATTTTAATGGCCTTCCTGGAAATCATCCCAGTATAGTAAAGAGGACAAACTAATAGCCATGGTTACTGTGTTGAAGTTCTGTGGCACTCGAAGCAATTGTTTATGTGATGCACAACCTAAACAATTCCGTATAAAAGTAGCAGCCTAGATTTTTAATGGAGTAAATATGAGACTGGTATAAGGTGCAGGTTATAGATAAGAGAGCCTTATAAAAAGAGTTTTGCCATGAAAATGTTTCCATTTCTAATTTATGTTCCCTTTGATCAAAGAATGTATTTTCACAGCCAAAATAAAACACCAAACGTTTTCTAGTGAAATCTATCTGTTGAAATGATGCTAGGTCCTATTACAGATCTGTAAGAAGTGGGTTATTTATCCTTCTATGTCTTCCATTCTATTCTATCCTCACAAGTTCTCATATCATCTCTTTAACTGGCATTAATCTGCATGATTAGATCATCAATCAAAATATACAACACAACTACATTTTAGTCATTCCAGAAGCACATTTTTCCATGTAGAAAAAAATAAATTTTTTTGTAGCTTAGTATGTGAAACCGAATTGGCAATTAATAAATTTATTATTGAATGGCAGTGAATATCTCTATCCAGAAAACTTATCTTCTTTATCTTTCAAAACATCACCAAAGGAAAAATAGATCACTGGACCCTCCCACTTCAATGAACCTGTATCTGTGGAGTTCCTGACCACATTTACTTTTAAATTTGCCCCATGTACCTGAATATATAACAGAAGTTTCTTGGGAATAATTTTAATGAGTATTCACAGAAAAATAATAGAAAAACTAAATTACTTATTCTTATAAGACATTACATTACTTATTCATAGACAATGAATGTAATAATTAATTAGCTTTCAGTTTTATGTTCTAATAATCTGGAAGTGGGCAATGCTTTTCCAAGCATGAGATCCAAACCATGTATTAATTTGAATGTGCAAAAAAATGATAGAGTCAAAAGTCACCTTGATAAAGTGGTGAAATGGGAAATGCACCTCACAGGCAAACATGACAGACTTTTCTGTAAAGTCTACTAGCTTTATTGTATATTGACTTTGTGACATCTACCTTGACTATTCAGGAACACTTTTAACTTTTCTTTCACAGTTCTGGTTGTATTCAAGACTAGTTACCTGGACAACCGATTTTCATGAGTGAGTTATCGGCATAGTTCATCTCTCTACATACATTCTTTTATTGCATGTGCTACTTCAGATTTTAAGTTTCTAGATGACTGGAGTTAATTCTCATTTTTATTAATACTGACTGGGACATCTTATATTAATAAATGCTCAATAAAAACTTCATGATTATTGTCCTAAGAATTTGTTATTAAACCTTAAACTGAAAGTTTTCTCTACTTTGATAGGAATTGGCTTCCTGTGAAAACATGCTAGATTCAGTGAAGTTAACAGTAACAGGTAAGATGTTTTATAGTATTTTCAGAGCTAAAAAAGAAACATGACATAATGTATACAGACATATTTCTTGTATTTAGGTATGTGGAAGCTGCTGCCCTTGGTACACAAAGATGATGCCATTAATAGTATTTACATGTGCAGGACATTAGTTTGATAGCTTTGTCAGTGATCCTCTATTTTATATTTCCCCATTTTAAAAGTATGGAATTCATATTTAAGAGCTTTTACATCTTTATGAGGGCAATAGACTTCAACTAATTGTTAAAAGATAGAATGAGAAGTGGAACTGTTCAGAGAAAGTAAATTTAATACCCAATATGTTGGTAGTAGCTTGATAGGATGAAATGGATAAACACAAAATGGTAAACTATTTTTAAGATATTTACTCCATTTTGATAGCCAGCAATATTAAAACCATAGGCTAGTATTTTATGATTAATTAGAACTTTTCAGCCAGGAAATATGAACACCAAATGAGATGATTAAAGCAGATAGAATCACACTCTTGGAATTCCAAATGAATTTGAAGATCAGCTTTACCGTATCTGTGAAAAGGGATAGGGACTGGAATTCTGATAGGGATTGCATTAATTTTTTAGATCACTTTGAGTAGTACTGACATGTTAACAATGTTGTCTTATGTATGAATACATGAGATCTTTCTATTTATTTAGGTCCTTTTCTTTCAGCAATATTTTTGTAGTTTTCAGCATGCAACTATCTCACCTCCTTGGTTATATTTATTTCTAGTTGTTTACTTTAGGGGCCACTGTAAATGGAGTTGCTTTCTTAGTTTACGTTTTTTTATTTTTTTTTAATTTTTTTATTGGAGTTCAATGTGCCAACATATAGCATATCACCCAGTGCTCATCCCGTCACTTAGTTTACTTTTTAGTTTGTTCTTTGATGAATAGAAACAAAACTGACTTTTGTTTGTTGATCTTACAGTCTGCAAATTTGCTGAATTCCTTTATTGTATATATTAACTTTCTTTTGGATTCTTTGGGATTTTTTTATCAGTAGGATTGTGTCATCTGCAGAGATCATTTTACCTCTTCCTTTCTAATTTAGATAGCTTTTATTTTTTTGCTTTCTAATAGTTCTGGCTGTAACTTCCAGTAAAATGTTGAATAGCAGTAGTAAAAGTGGGCATCCAGCCTTATTAATCTTAGGGGAGATGCCTTAAGCCATTCACCATTGAATATGAAGTTAACTGTTCTTTATATTTTATGTACCTTTATTATGTTGAGGAATTTTCCTGTATTCCTAGTTTTCTGAGGGCTTTTGTCATGAAAGTGTATTGTCAAATACCTTTTCTGCATCAATTGAGATGTTCATGTGCTTTTGTCCTTTTGCTCTGTTAATATGATGTATTATATTGATTGATTTTCTTATGATGAAACATCCTTTCATTCCTAGGATAAATCACACTTGGTCATGGGTCATGGTGAATGATTCTTGTACTATGCTGTGAGTTTAGTTTGCTTAGTTTGTTGACGATCTTTGCATCTACATTAATGAGTGGTAATGGTCTATAATTTTGTTTTCTTCTGATGTATTTTTTATTTTTTGATTTATTTTTTATTGGTGCTCAATTTGCCAACATACAGAATAACACCCAGTGCTAATCCCATCAAGTGCCCCCCTCAGTGCCCATCACCCAGTCACCACCATCCCCCGCCCACCTCCCTATCTACTACCCCTAGTTGCTTTCCCAGATTTAGGAGTCTCATGTTCTGTCTCCCTTTCTGATATTTCCCCTCATTTATTCTCCTTTCACCTTTATTCGCTTTCACTATTTTTTATATTATCGAAATAAATGAGACCATATAATGTTGGTCCTTCTCCGATTGACTTATTTCACTCAGCAAAATACCCTCCAGTTCCATCCATGTCGAAGCAAATGGTGAGTATTTGTCATATCTAATGGCTGAGTAATATTCCATTGTATACATATACCACATCTTCTTTACCCATTCATCTTTCAATGGACCCCGAGGCTCCTTCCAAAGTTTGGCTATTGTGGACATTGCTGCTATAAACATCGGGGTGCAGGTGTTGCGGCGTTTCACTGCATCTGTATTTTTGGAGTAAATCCCCAGCAGTGCAATTTCTGGGTGGTAGGGCAGATCTATTTTTAACTCTTTCAGGAAAAGACACACAGTGTTCCAGAGTGTCTGCACCAGTTAACATCCCCACCAACAGTGCAAGAGGGTTCCCCTTTCTCCACATACTCTCCAACATTTGTGGTTTCCTGCCTTGTTAATTTTCCCCATTCTCACTGGTGTGAGGTGGTATCTCATTGTGGTTTTGATTTGTATTTCCCTGATGGCCAATGATGCGGAGCATTTTCTCATGGGCTTGTTGGCCATGTCTATGTCTTCCTCTGTGAGATCTCTGTTCATGTCTTTTGCCCATATCATGATTGGATTTGTTGGTTTGTTTCTTTGCTGTTGAGTTTAAAAAGTTCTTTATAGATCTTGGATACTAGCCCTTGATCTGATATGTCATTTGCAAATATCTTCTCGCATTCTGTAGGTTGTCTTTTAGTTTTGTTGACTGTTTGCTTTGCTGTGCAGAAGCTTCTTATCTTGATGAAGTCCCAATAGTTCATTTTTGCTTTTGTTTCTCTTGCTTTCATAGATGTATCTTGCAAGAAGTTACGGTGGCCGAGTTCAAAAAGGGTGTTGCCTGTGTTCTATTCTAGGATTTTGATGGATTTATGTCTCCCATTTAGATTTTTCATCCATTTTGAGTTTATCTTTGTGTATGGTGTAAACGAATGGTCTAGTTTCATTCTTCTGCATGTGGATGTCCAATTTTCTCAGCACCATTTACTGAAGAGACTGTCTTTTTTCCAGTGGATAGTCTTTCCTGCTTTGTCAAATATTAGTTGACCATAAAGTTGAGAGTCCACTTCTGGATTCTCTATACTGTTCTATTGATCAATGTGTCTGTTTTTGTGCCAGTAACATACGGTCTTGATGACCACAGCTTTGTAGTACAACCTGAAATCCGGCATTGTGATGCCCCCAGCTATGGTTTTCTTTTTTAATATTCCCCTGGCTATTTGGGGTATTTTCTGATTCCACACAAATCTTAAGATAATTTGTTCAACCCTCTCAAGAAAGTCCATAGTATTTTATTAGGGAATGCATTAATTGTGTAAATTGCCCTGGGTAACATTGACATTTACACAATATTAATCCTTCCAATCCATGAGCATGGAATATTTTTCCATCTCTTTGTGTCTTCCTCAGTTTCTTTCAGAAGTGTTCTCTCGTTTTTAGGGTATAGATCCTTTACCTCTTTGATTAGGTTTATTCCTAGGTATCTTATGCTTTTGGATGCAATTGTCAATGGGACTGACTCCTTAAGTTCTCTTTCTTCAGTGTAATTTTAGTGTATAGAAATACCACTGATATCTGGGCATAGATTTTGTATCCTGCCACACTGCCGAATTGCTGTATGAGTTCTAGCAATCTTGGCATGGAGTCTTTTGGGTTCTCTATGTACAGTATCATGTCATCTGTGAAGAGGAAGAGTTTGACTTCTTCTTTGCCAATTTAATGTCTTTTTGTTGTCTGATTGCTGAGGCTAGGACTTCTAGTACTATGTTGAATAGCAGTGGTGAAAGTGGACATCCCTGTCTTGTCCCTGATCTTACAGGAAAGGCTCCCAGTGTTTCCCCATTGAGAAGGATATTTGCTGTGGCTTTTCGTAGATGGCTTTTTTTAAAATTTTTATTTATTTATGATAGTCACAGAAAGAGAGAGAGAGAGAGAGAGAGAGAGAGAGAGAGAGGCAGAGACATAGGCAGAGGGAGAAGCAGGCTCCATGCACCGGGAGCCAGATGTGGGATTCGATCCCGTGTCTCCAGGATCGCGCCCTGGGCCAAAGGCAGGCGCCAAACCGCTGCGCCACCCAGGGATCCCTCGTAGATGGCTTTTAAGAGGCTGAGGAATATTCCCTCTATCCCTACACTGTGAAGAGTTTTGATCAGGAATTAATGCTGTATTTTGTCAAATGCTTTCTCTGCATCTATTGAGAGGATCATAGGGTTCTTGTTTTTTTCTCTTGCTGGTATGATCAATCACATTGATTGTTTTACAAGCATTGAACCAGCCTTGCATTCCGGGGATAAATCCCACTTGGTCATGGTGAATAATCTTCTTAATGTATTGTTGTCTCCTATTGGCTAATATCTTGTTGAGAATTTTTGCGTCCATGTTCGTCAGGGATATTGGTCTATAATTCTCCTTTTTGGTGGGGTCTTCACCTGGTTTTGGAATTAAGGTGATGCTGGCCTCATAGAATGAGTCTGGAAGTATTCCATCTCTTTCTATCTTTCTGAACAGCTTTAGTAGAATAGTTACAGTTTCTTCTTTAAACGTTTGATCGAATTCCCCTGGGAAGTAATTTGGCCCTGGACTTTTGTGTCTTGGGAAGTTTTTGATGACTGCTTCAATATCTTCCCTGGTTATTGGCCTGTTCAGGTTTTCTATTTCTTCTTGCTCCAGTTTTGGTATTTTGTGTTTTTCCAGAAATGCGTCCATTTCTTCTAGATTGCCTAATTTATTGGCGTAGAGCTGTTCATAATATGTTTTTAATATCATTTGTATTTCCTTGGTGTTGGTAGTGATCTCTCCTTTCTCATTCATGATTTTATTAATTTGAGTCTTTCCTCTCTTCTTTTTAATAAGACTGGCTAATGGCTTTTCTATCTTAAAATACTTTCAAAGAACCAACTCCTGGTTTTGTTTATCTGTTCCACAGTTCTTCTGGTCTCGGTTTCATTGAGTTCTGCTCGAACATTCATTAACACTCTACTTCTGCTGGGTGTAGGACCTATTTGATGTTTTCTCTCCAGCTCCTTTATGTGTAAGGTAAGCTTTTGTATTTGAGTTCTTTCCAGTTTTTGAATGGATGCTTGTATTGCAATGTATTTCCCCCTCAGGACTGCTTCTGCTGCATCCCAAAGATTTTGAATGGTTCTATCT